TTGAAGGAAACAAATCAAAATTCAGGGATATATTAGTCACTTAGTGCCTCACTATGTAAAATTACAAAGAATTAAAGGGTTATATTAGTAAAAGTGATATTAAAATACCTACGTTAGCTAAATAATATTTATGGAATACCCGAATCTAGATTATTAATTATTAATATATCAATATTATTTATCCAAACCTAATTACGAAGTATGATTCTTCGCCAAATAGGATTCCGAAGCACCAGAAGCAGCCACGTAGGTTCAGCGCATTCGGGAATTATATATAGGGAGGATTGTGTAGTAGACTGTGCAATTTTCTCCACTAGTTTTTGTTGGCTTTTACCTCCAATTAATCTTGTTATGAATGAACCAAAATTTCTTTTGTCATAGACAGTACACAATTATTTAAGGTATAGATTGAGCATTTTTAACTCATGTTTATTTATATTCGAACTCTTTTAATATTTTTTTTTTTGTTTATTTTTCGAGCAAAATTTTATTCTAACTCGTTTGTTTAATTGTAGTGTTCGAATAATTTAGTAAACAAACTTTTTAAAATTGTAGGATTAACTCGAGATTTGTTTGTTCAAAATCGAGCTCAACAATAAAAATAAATTCAAATATTTTCATATTTTAGATTTTTTTATTATGAATTAAATGCATATAAAAATAAAATAAAATTATATTAAATTAATATTCGAGAACATTATTGGACGTGACCAGGACATGTTCGTTCTCCTACTAAATGAGCTAAATTTTATGTTCGAACTCGACTCGAATAACAAACGAACAAACTCTTGTCGAATACGAATGGACTTTTGTTTGCGGATGTTCGGTTCTTTAACAACCCTATCTCAAATAAAGTTGTAGGGTGACCAAAAGCCTACAAAGAATTGAAATCGCGGTAACAACCATTTTGAAAAAACAAATTTACGACAAAGATTCTATTAGACGAGATAGATCATGTATTTTTTGTTTAACTGCGTAATGATTAAACAGATCATGCATTCCCAACAAAGATGTATACTTATCTCTCTCTTTCTCTCTCTCTATATGTATATATATATATATATATATAACTGTAGGCTATTCAATAAATGAGATAGCCTACTTTTTTTCCGCCTAAACCAAATTTTGGCTAAATTAAGTAGGTTTATTTATATTAATCCCCCATTTATGTATTCTAATGTCATTAATATATATACATATATATAATGTCACATCACACTTGGCCGTTACTATTGGTAATAAATAATTAAAATTATACACAACTAGTACGCACCCCGTGCGATGCACGAGACATAAATATTAAATGAGTTATTTTCACATGGTTTGTCCGTTTAAGTATATAAAGAAATAAAATTATCATCTATTTTTCATCTTTTTTAATCAGCGTTAAATATAATAAACAATATGGTTATAATATATTTTGCACCTCTTTTAATCAACGTTATTTATTTAGTCAAAAGATTAAAATAATTAATATATTATTTCACTAACACATTTATCCTAATTTAAATTTAATTTTAGTATATATATTTATTCCTTGATATATAAGAAAATAACAATTTTACTTATTCTTGTTCACCATATAATACTTAATTATTATTTTATTATACACTTTATGTCATATAATGTCATTATTATTTATAAAGTTGTAGAAGTTGTACGTCTTCTTTTTATTTTTATTTTATGTAATGAAGTATATTTAATGCACGTTGGTTTTATTTATTTATGTAATCAATTTTAAAATATGTAAATAAATTTAATATTAAATAATGTATAAATATTTTACAAAATATACACATGCTTTTCTAGAGTTTAATTTTGTATACTAATTAACAACTTTGATTTAGAAAATTCCAAAATCTCGATCCCCTCTATGATCAAGATTTTTGTAATTGGCATTATAAGGATTTATAGTTTATTTAGCGTACTCAACAATGAAAATATATTTTACAAGAATTTAGTTATATAAATAATCAGAATAAAAAAATGAAAAGACATAATCATGGGTGCCAATAATATATAAATAAATAGTTAATATGATTCAATTTTAATTTTTTTACTATTATTAAAACTATTTATTATATGTGGTCATTATATCTTAAATGGTAATTTATATTAATTTGAATAACGATTTATTTTTTATATTTGACAAAATAAAACTTAAGAAACAAATATATAGACAAAGATTAATTCACCAACTTGATTTTATCTGATTACTTAGAAAAAATAAATCTACCTAACCTTCGATTTTCCATAAATATTTTTGGATAAAAAGTGAATATTTGTGAAAAAAAAAACTAATATTACGGTTAGAACTTAAAATATGGTGTAATATTATCTGGACCAAAATATTATCAACATGGATCACAGAAATCAATCTTGTAATTTATTATAATGAATATCAATGAAAGTATTACAAATATTAATAAAATAATATTTATCTTAACCAAAATATTATCAACATGAATCACGAAAATCAATCTTGTAATTTATTATAATAAATATCAATAAAAATACTGCAGATATTAATAAATTTATTGAAGTAATTATTTGATCATATGTTATTTAATCTTATTTGAAAACGTGTAAATAAAAGCAATTAATACATATATTTAAAAAATTTCTAAAAATAGTATGCATTAAATGTTTCCTAAATTTTTGCTACTATTTTTGGTAAATGGTAATTCTTTTTATATATATATATATTAATAAATGTATCAAATTCAAAAATTATAATTACAGATTATGTTAAATTACAGCATATTACAATTACAATAAAATAAAGTTATATTTTCGTAATTTAATTTACTGTCACTCCAGTAACATATACCTACAAAATGATAAGAAAAATAAGTTTCATAATTAAAATTAAAGGTTTAATTCCTTCAAATTGTAAAACTGTGTAAATTATTAATATAAATATGTTCTTCATATGATGTTCTTCTTCATCATTAAAGATTTACTTTACATTTCTTTTAATGATTTAAAAGATGTTGTTCTTCATCATTAAATATAGTAAAACCGAGTAAATTATCAAATGGTAAATCCGAAATTAAAATTAAAGATTTACTTTACATTTTTTTTTTTAAAAAAAAATGACGTTCTTCATTATTTACGCAAGAAACAAACAAATATGTTGAGATTATAATTTTTTAAAATATATCCGATGCTCTTAACATAAAGTTTAGATAGAATGGGACGAGTCTGGCTGAAGAAAAGAATGAAATTGGTTCTTCCTCAGAGAGTGTTACCTTTCCGTCAATCAAATTATCTGCTTACGAGAATATGTCCCCCTCGGATTAGAATAGCGTCCTTCTTTTCGTGACTGAATTTTCTTATGCTGCCCTTGTTGCTGTTTTTGATTCAGTTGTTGAATCCATTGATTCAACTTCCAAAGCACTTGTTAGCGCTCCCCCTACCCTCAACACGGACTAAACTCTTTCCAGGGAGTCGATGACACCAAAGGAGAGCTCGCCCCAACACCACCACTGTAACAACATCATTATTGATTATCCAGTAAGGTCAACAACACAAGTTACACAACCATCATTTACATCCCACATCAGATTCCACAAACTCTACAGTCAGATAGTCTGTCTATTAGGCAGGTCGGCGTTGTAAAAAACGAGTACTTGTATAAGTATTATGAAACACAACAGATTTGTTTGGGTTAAAATACTTGGGCAACATAAATGTATGACACTTAATTGAGCAAATATGCTTGCCTAATAGTTAGTTTTGCTTAACAATTATTCAACATCAACATAGTTGTTTCTTTCACAGGTGGTTTAGTTTACAGCCATGCAAAAAAAACAAAAAAAAAAAAGAAGAAGCAACCCAGCTGCAGTATTTTAGTCTCATCACACATAACTCGTTTCTCCTCAACGGTAATCTAACGATAATATTTAGACATACCAAAAACTCTGGATTACACCTACACGAGAATATCATTGTCTGATATCGGCCGATTTCTCTCCAACCAAAAACGAAATACAGTTCACTTTCTTCTCCTTCTCCCTAAGGAGATCTGAAAGCTTCACCAGCATAACGGACATTTCCCAGTTCTTCTTCAATGCGCAGAAGCTGCAACATATAAAACAGAGTTAGCCCTAACATGTCAGTCACAAAGACCATCGCGCGCGTGCACTTGTGTGTGTGTGTGTGTGTGTAGTAGGGTTGGGTTCTAATGGGAGAATCAATCCTGGTGTAAGGATCAAAACATCATGTTAAATAAGTCAACTATATGCAATGCTAATTAAGGGTGCTAATAATAGCATCAAATTTCTTGAACTATATATATCTTTCATTGTATATTCAAAAATAGTATTTTTAGCATATCCTATATGCTACGGTCATTCTCGTATGTTACCTGATTGTACTTGGCCAACCGCTCACTTCTGCAAGGAGCTCCTGTCTTGATCTGCATATATTTTATGAATAAAAAGATGAATCCAAGTTAATATAAAATACAAGGGTCATATGATGATTCAAAGAGAGAGAGAGAGAGAGAGAGAGAGACCTGTCCACTGGCCAAGCCGACAGAGAGATCTGCAATGAAGTTGTCTTCTGTCTCACCACTGCGGTGACTAACCATCACACCCCATCCAGCGGCTTTCGAGTCGAGTGCTGCTTGAATAGATTCACTCACTGTACCAATTTGGTTAACCTGCAATTTTTTATTAAGTACATGAAAGTGGGGAGAGTGAGCATATCAGCATAAAAGCTACATGCGTGCATATACGTGCATATACGAGGGAGAACACAAAAAATGCAGACCAAAATTGGGGAAGTTATTGCTAGTGTCTCTCTCGATCAATATAAAAGAAACTTTGAGTGCTGTATCTGTTCAATATGTAGGCTTTTGGATGTCAGACGCGGGTGACTGTTAGGCAAATAAACATATCTAAACAACCAGGTAAGTAAACTGTCTCTGTCATGCGAAATTTCATGTGTTCTCGACAAAGTTGAGGAAAACAAAAGCTAAAATAACAGGCCAGCCACAGTCAAACCACACACAATCGTAAAAACAAAAACATATTAGCAAAAATATTCTCCATCAGAAGTATTAAACAAGCACATAGAGAATCTCTTTAAACTAAAGGGCGAATAAGGCAGGCTACACACACACCTTCAGCAGCAAAGCATTGCATGCTTTCTTCTGAATAGCTTCTGCTATTCTTTTCGGATTAGTGACTAACAGATCATCACCCACGAGCTGGATACCGACTGAGGACTGCAGTGACGACCATGAACCCCAGTCGTCTTGGTCAAAAGGATCCTCAATCGATACAATGGGGAAATCTCTCACAAATTCTTTATATAAATCACCAAGGCTTTGAGCCGTCAGCACGTGAGCACCGTCATTTGGTTGATTCTTGAAATTGAGGTCATATTTCCCCTCTTTCGTCAAGAACTCAGAAGCAGCAACGTCCATCCCTATTTTGATCTGGACCAATTATCCGACACAAAAATTGTTGAGAAGCAATGCAGCAAAAATAGACCAAGAAAAAAAGAAGGCCAGAACTTGTGGCAGATGTCTTATTGGATACCTCCCTAAGAAAAATTTAGTTTTACAGTTCTTCAGAGTTCATTCTGTTTCAAATTCTCGAAGTTTTCTCCAAGGTTCTTAAGTTTAACTTTTTAAGTTTTCACTTATTTTAGTTTTTTACCCCAGTATGGATTATTATATGATTTGACATATTACAATTATTCAAAACATATAATAAAATCCCATTTGGTTTTCTCCAGATAACTCAATCCACTGCATTCTAGTATTTTTATTTCAACTAAGATTTAATTTTAAGTTTTAATTTACGGGGATTCAGAGGTGTGCCTCAAAAAAGCAATAACCATACCTTCCCTGTGTACCCTGCCTTTTCAATTGCATCCATGAGCAGCACCAATCCTTCCCTATTATCCTGCACATTGGGAGCAAATCCACCTTCATCTCCCACATTGCACGCGTCTTGGCCATATTTAGATTTAATAATTCCCTTCAGAGTATGATATACTGCACCACCAAAGAAAGCCGAATAAGTACAACTACCCAATTTTCATAATTCTCTACCAGTGCACTTTAACAAGTTACAGTTACAGATGTGCTTTTGGGGAATATAAGTACACAACCAGAATGCGAAGCGAATCTGACCAAATGACAATTACATATTCCATACACCAAAAGAAAGTAATCAACTTCACTAACTTTCACTGCCCATCTGGAGTGCCTCGGAGAACGAGGAAGCTCCTACGGGCAATATCATGAACTCTTGCATGGCCAAGTTGTTCCCAGCGTGACTGCCTCCATTGATCACGTTGAATGCTGGGACTGGCATAACAAGCTCTTTCGTGTTTGATATTTCCTGTATGTGCTGGTAAAGTGGCACTCCTTTCGCTCCTGCACCAGCTCTGCACACGCTAAGAGAAACTCCTAAAATAGCATTAGCCCCAAGTTTTGATTTATTCGGAGTCCCGTCAATCTCCAGCATAACAGAATCGACATCATTCTGATTCCTAATAATGGGAAGAAAAAAAGCAATCAGGTCATTTGCAAAAGTAGCCAATGGCCACAATTTACGAAATATTTCGAATCTGGCGCGCAAACAAAGTGGTGTAAACACATTATTTTGCCACAACTTATTTTCCAAATCGCTACATGTAGAAAACTAACTATTTCTTCAACTCTCATACAAAACTCTACATACTGCGATGCTTGTTGAATCATTTTTTTTTTTCCTTTTTTACTTTCCTTCGGTTTTCACGTAGAGTGGAAAGGCTAATTCATGAGCTTTTAATCATCCTTACAATTGGGCAGTACCTCCAATCAATGTTCACAAGAACACATACCATATAAGTTCTTAACATAAACATACATGCTACACCAGTTGGAAGAGTTATCCATGGCCTTCAAAATCTCGACAAATATCAACTTCATAAAACGCAGAATATAAATCAAACTCTATCCAAGAAGTATTACTGTCAGAAGCCAAGCTACAAAACCTTACTACACAGGAAACAAGCATACTCTTAACTTGATACATTCAGACATTTGCAGCATTCACATTCCGAAGCACACAAGTCCCAACACGTTCAAAAACATGACGAATTGACGATTAATGTTAAAAAACGCGTTTAACACATTTGAAACTCATTTTCAACTCGAGTACCTGACATCGATGCCAACGAGCTTGGGACCCAACAAATCATTAATATTCTTAACCGCGCTCAGGACCCCTTTGCCCCCATACACGCTCTTGTTGCCGTCCCTGAGCTCGAGCGCCTCGTAGATCCCGGTGGAGGCCCCACTTGGAACGGCCGACCGGTGGAGGCCACCGTCCTCCGTGATCAGATCGACCTCCACCGTCGGGTTGCCCCTGCTGTCCACAATCTGCCGCGCCTTAAGCTGCTTGACCCTGGCCGAGGCCTTGGCAGCGACGGCGGAGGAGGGCGACGCCGCCACGGAGCTGCGTACGGTGAAAGGCGCGGACTTGATCTTCTGGGCTGAGGGGGCTGAGATGAGGGGGTTTCGGGAGGCGGGTCTGGTGGAAAAAAATGGTTTTGATAGCTGGGACGGAGTCAACGACATTGATGGACGTTTATTCTTTTTCTTTGAGTGTGTGAGAGAGAGAAAATGGAGAAGGTGGCGGAGACAGAGAGGGTTCGATTACAAAGTCGGTATATATGAAGAGAAAATTCTGCAGCTTTTGTAGGGAAGTTCGCCGAGGGGAATGGAGACGAAGGGTACTTTGGTGTGAGAGTCGGTTGTTGAAAACGGCATTTGGTGGTGGTTGTTGGGAGTCTATACGGCGGCGGGGCGTTAAGAACTAGGTGGTGGGTGGTTTGGGGTGCATTTGTGATTTTGAGTAATATATGGGCGTTTTATAGAAATATGTCGTATTGGCATATCTTTATAAACAAATCATATTATTTAGAGCATCCACAATGCTTTGGGTATCTTTTTGCATATGTGGCAAATAAATAGACTTAAGTCCATAATGACATGGACAAACCTAAACTAAAAAAACCAAAATCTATCCAATGCAAAACAAAAAAGTACTAGTTCTAGAATACATGACAACCAATAAAAATGCTCTAGTATATTTCATTTATTAAAAGAAAAATTAAATGAGAAATAAATGATGAGTGTTTGGGTTTGTACTTGGGTCTAAAATAGACCCAAGTGTGGAGTAGGTCTCATTTTTTTATTGCCACATAAGCTAGACTAGGTCCACTTTTAATTGCATTGGAGAACACTTTTTTATAGACTAGGTCTATTTCTTACATGGCATGTAACTTTTTTCTAAGAAACTCAAAGCATTGTGGGTGCTCTTAATGACTATAATTGTTAAGAACCATTCCGTCGGAATTCTTAACTGTAGATGCACCATATTGATTAGTGGAGATAGATAATGTACGATTAAAAATCTTGACGGAATGGTGGACTCTATTCTTTCCCCATAATATTTGCTTGAAGTGCAATTTGAGTAAAATTTTCAACTATGTTGATTTATGGCTTTTTATTTTTTATTTTGGATTATCGAAGCACGAATATATCTCGCTAATATATAATCTTCGAATGTGTTGAACTTAAGTGGAAAACTCGCATGCTTTCGAATGTGTTGAACTTAAGTGGCGAACTCGCATGCTTTAGAAACTTATGTGGCAAATTTTCACATTTTTCATTTTTTTTTTCCGCAACGATAGAAATAACTATTAATCAAAAGCGAGCAAAGCTCGAATACAACCAAGTTCCAACTAAAAAAACAACATGAGAGGTGCATCTAACAAGATGACCTAGAGCCTCAACAAGAAACTAAAGAGAAAAGAAAAAGAGCAAATAATCACCACTGCTACAAAGCCTAGCAAATTACCTGCCCTTACTACAACTAAAGAAACAAACCAATGAAAAGGAAAAGAACACCACAGAAGATCTAACAGCCAAAAAAGAGAGAAGAGTACTCCAACCAGTCAGAATGAGCAGCTTTAACCACAATCTGAGGTGTAGGAAGAGAGCCTTGAAAAATCCACTGGTTTCTGGTTTTCCAGAGCCACCATAGAAGGTATGTAGACAACTGGATTCTGTGTTCATCAATCTTGGAGTGAGCAGTGGAGCAGACAAACTGCCACCAGGTTCTGAAAGAGTGATTGAACTGGGAGATACCAAGCCAAGAGACAGGTGCTAACTCCCAAGTTCTACAAGCTCTGGGACAGCTCAGCAATATATGTTCAAGAGTTTCAGGCAATTCTCCACAACACCTGCAAATGATATCAATGTGCATTCCTCTCTTTTTCAGGTTAGTCAAGACAGGCAAGGATCCTGTGAGGCATTTCCTCAGAAAAGTTTTAAGCTTCATCTGCACTTTCAGAGACCATGTTCTTTTCAGAGTCAACTTCCATGAGTTAGATCTGTTGCTACATTCAGGGATATCCATGAGAAGGAGTTTCTGCTGCACCAAGAATGAATATGTAGAAGCCACTGAGAATTGACCTTTTTTAGCAAGACTCCAAAAAATTCTATCTGGTCTATCTGGCCTCAAAGTTTTAATACTCAATATAGCAGCACTATCCTCAGCATCAAATACTTGTTTAACAAGCCAATCATTCCATTCTAAACCAGAGGGAAACATTAAATCTTTAACAAAGATAAGATGATCTTTGGCAATTTCAAGCAAAACAAGTTTTGCCTTAGAAAGATTGGGAACCCAGTCCAAATCATCAATTCTAGTATTAACACCATCTCTAACCTCAATCTGAAACCCTCTGGTGAAGAGAGGAAGAACATCCATCCAGCAATTCCAAAGCCATGATCCATTTTGAGTTTTAGAGGCATGAAAAATAGAAGAATTTGGGAAGTACCTCTCCTTTAGAACTCTACTCACAAGCAATTCTGGTTGAGATGTGATCCTCCAGAGCTGTTTGCAGATCAAAGCTTCATTAAATAACTTTAAGTCCAAGAAGCCCATTCCACCATCTTGTTTAGCAGTAGTGATCTTTGCCCAACTTTTCCAATGTATACCTTTAGCCTCCTCAGAATTAGATTGCCACCAAAATTGAGCACAAAGACTGGCCAGAGAGGAACATATAGAGACTGGAAGCTTAAAGCAGGACATAGTGAAGATGGGAAGAGCCTGCAAAACTGATTTCAAAAGCACAGCCTTGCCTGCTGAAGATAGTAACTTGGCTTTCCAATTTTGCAGCTTACTCTTAGTGGACTCAACAAGGTATGCAAAGACTTCTTTTTTTGGCCAATGCCAAAGGGCAGCCCCAAGTACCTTGTGGATCTGTGTGTTTTAATACCTTGCAGGGTAGTACAAATATTTTCTTGAAGGTGGACAGGTGTGTTTCTGCTGAAAAAAATGGCAGACTTGACTAAATTTACTGTCTGACCAGTAAACAATCTATATCTATTCAGCAAGTCCAAAAGAACACCAGCCTGATCCACACCTGCTTCACAGGAAAAGATGGAGTCGTCTGCAAACAACAAATGAGATATGGGAGGCACAGACTGAGATAATTTTAATCCCTTAAGAAGACCAGAGTTGGTAGCATCAAGAATAAGAGCAGATAGAAGTTCAGAGACTATTATGAAGAGATAGGGTGAAAGGGGATCACCCTGTCTAATTCCTCTGGTGGGAGAGACAAGACTACAGAGATTACCATTAATTTTAAAGGAAATGGAGGTGGTTGATATGCAGACCATCAGAAGCTTGATAAAATCAGCATGAAATACCATCTGAAGCATAATCTTTTTAATACAAACCCACTCCAATCTATCAAAAGCTTTCATAATGTCAAGATTCAGAGCCATAAAGTAGTTCTTACCAGAAGAATTTCTGTTAAGATAGTGAAAAGCTTCTTGGGCTATTATGACATTATCTAGGAGTTGTCTGCCCTGAATAAATGCAGATTGGAATCCACTAATGCAGCCATCTAAACAGACTTTCAATCTTTGAGCAAGAACTTTAGAAATAACTTTGTAAACCACTGTGCAAAGGCTAATAGGTCTGAACTTACAGATAGAATCAGGAGAAGCACACTTAGGAATCAAAGAGAGAATGGTGTGGTTCCAGTATTGAAGTAATTGACCAGAATGAAAGAAACTCAAGACTGCAGAAGTGAAGTCTGATTTAATCAAGTTCCAGAAGTGCTGGTAGAAAAGAGCATTCATACTATCTTCTCCTAGGGATTTATCAGGATGTAGGCTGAAAAGAGCTGACTTGATCTCTTCCTCTTCCACAGGTAGCAGAAGATTATGGTTCATATCTTGAGTAATGGTTGGAGTGATAAGTTGCAGCAGGGAATCCCCTCCCCAAGATCCTTCTGATGAGAAGAGGGAGTCATAGAATTCTGAAATATGGTTTTGGATGTCCCTCTGGCTAGTGAGTTCCTCCCCTCTGGAGTTGACAAGCCGGGTAATGGCATTCATTCTTCTTCTATGCAGAGTGTAAGCGTGGAAGAATTTAGAATTGCTGTCACCATGCTTAAGCCAATGTATTCTGGAAGTTTGTTGCCAATACAGAGCTTCTTGATGATGAGCTTTGTCCATGTCTTTTCTTGTGTTATTCCAGTCTTCCCATTTAGTCTCTGACTTATCCTCCCTAAGTTCTTCCAGCTTTTTGGTAAGAGCAGCTCGTTGGAGTTGATTCTGAGTATGAAATTGAGAACTCCATTTCAAAAGAGCCACTCTGGTTTGCTTAACCTTTTCCTTGAGTTGATAGAATGGTGTTCCTGTTACTGGTGTAAGCCAAGCTTGGGTCACCACCTCAGATAAACTGGTTTTGCCAATCCACCTTTTGTCAAATTGAAACCTTCTGGTTCTCCTCTCTTTTGGATACCAGGATCCACTAAAATGATTGAGTGGTTAGAGGAGCAAGCTACCAGATTGAGAGTCTTGGCATTAGGAAAAGTTTGCATCCACTCAATAGAGCCAAAAGCTCTGTCAAGCTTTTCTTCCACCATATCTTCTGAGCCTCTATTGTTGCACCAAGTGTATTGATAGCCCATCATCCTGATTTCTTCCATCCCCATTGAGTTAATGAAAGTATTGAATCCCTGGAAGCTGCTATTTGGTCTAATAACTCCTCCTGCTTTCTCTTCACTGGAACAAATATCGTTCCAATCTCTTGCAACAAACCAAGAGGATCCCCAACTACTGCTTTTAGATTCTAAAATTGCCCATTGAGAAGCCCTTTGGATTCTACAAGTGCTAAGGTACACAAATATCCCCCATTGGGGTTCAGAAGCAGGCAAATTGAAGTGAACAGCAATAAAAAAAGAAGAGCAAACTACTTGAATAATATTTACAGAAGAGTCCCACAAAAGACAAAGCCCTCCCCTTAAGCCTTGAGGATCTACCAAGGAAAATCTATCCTCAAAACCTAACTTCCTAACAACAGACTTAACAAAAGCATTTGATTTTTTAGTTTCAGAAAGAAAGAAAAAAACTGGGTGATGAGACCTCATGGTCTCTCTGATTTGGGAAACTGTAGAGGGCCCACCCAGCCCTCTACAGTTCCACACCGCAGCTAACATTGAGAACTCGGGTGCCATTCTAGGCTGGCCACCCCCACCTCTCCATTAGTTGCT